GTCTCCCTGCAATATCTGACTGCACGTTCCCCTGTCTCCCTGCAGTATCTTACTGCACATTCCCCTTGTCTCCTTGCAATATCTTACTGCACATTCCCCCTGTCTCCCTGCAATATCTAACTGCACATTCCCCCTGTCTCCCTGCAATATCTGACTGCACATTCCCCTGTCTCCCTGCAGTATCTTCCTGCACATTCCCCTTGTCTGCCTGCAATATCTAAATGCACATTCCCCCGTCTCCCTGAAATATCTGACTGCACATTCCCCTGTCTCCCTGCAATATCTAACTGCACATTCCCCTTGTCTCCCTGCAATATCTGACTGCACATTCCCCATCTTTCCCTGCAATATCTTACTGCACGTTCCCCCTGTCTCCCTGCAATATCTTTCTGCAAATTCCCCTGTCTCCCTGCGATATCTTACTGCACATTCCCCTGTCTTCCTGCAATATGTTACTGCAATTTCCCCGTCTCCTTGCAATATCTTACTGCACATTCCCCCTGACTCCCTGCAATATCTTACTGCACATTCCCTTGTCTTCCTGCAATATGTTACTGCACATTCCCCGTCTCCTTGCAATATCTTACTGCACTTTCCCCCTGTCTCCCTGCAATATCTTATTGCACATTCCCCCTGTCTCCCTGCAATATCTTACTGCAGATTCCTCCTGACTCCCTGCAATATCTTACTGCACATTCCCCCTGCCTCCCTGCAAAACCTTACTGCACATTCCTCCTGTCTCCCTGCTATATCTTACTGCACATTCCCCTCTCTCCCTGCAATATCTTACTGCACATCCCCCTGTCTTCCTGAAATATCTTACTGCACATTCCGCTGTCTCCCTGCCATACCTTACTGCACATTCCCCCTGTCTCCCTGCAGTATCTTACTGCACATTCCCCTGTCTCCCTGCAATATCTTACTGCACATTCCCCCTGTCTCCCTGCAATATCTTACTGCAGATTCCTCCTGACTCCCTGCAATATCTTACTGCACATTCCCCCATCTCCCTGCAGGACCTTATTGCACATTCCCCTGTCTCCCTGCAATATCTTACTGCACATTCCCCCTGTGTCCCTGCAATATCTTGCTGCACATTCCCCCTGTCTCCCTGCAATATCGTACTGCACATCCCCCCTGTCTCCCTGTAATTTTTTTGCTGCACTTTGCCCTGTCCAGCTGCAATACTGTCTCTCAAATCCCATTAAGGAATAAAGTAAAAATTACGCTTCCAGATATTATCAGCACACACTTTGTTTTTCTCCTCTCCCCTCTTCTCCATCCAATCTCTCCTTCGTGTTTTTTTCGTTTTCAGACACTGGAACCTTTACAGTCAGAGGGAGAAGTTTGAGGAGAAAAACTCTGGAGATATAAAGTCACTGTCACTCCACCTCACTCTATTGCCACCGTGTCCAAGACAGGCACTATGTCCTTTCCAGGGCACAGCAGGGATGGACCTGACAGTAGAGTCACCCCAGGAGGAGTACACAAGAGCCAATGTTGAGGAGGGAGAGGGAGGAGGTGAAAAGCTATTTTTGTTGCCAGCTGATTGAAGAGCTGGCCACCCACCAATCCAGGTCCAGAGGACTCTAATGAGGTTGAAGGTCAGTTACAGCTGTGATCACGGCCCAGTGGTAAAGCTCGTGGAGGGACCCAGCCACCATGTTGGCACAGGGAGCTCGGAGCCTCCCTTTCCCATCTGGGAAATTACACCAGCTGACCTGTGGGTGGCAGTGTGACACAACAGCTGGCAGCAGTTACCAGGGTGTGGCATCCATGGTACCTCCATGAGGACTGGGATCCAGTCATGGATTGGGGAGGGAGGAGGCATTTCACAGAGTCACACAGCACGGAAACAGACCCTTCGGTCCATCCAGTCCATGCCGACCATAATCCCAAACTTAACTAGTCCCACCTGCCTGCTCCTGGCCCATATCCCTCCAAACCTTTCCTATTCATGTACTTATCTAAGTGTCTTTGAAACATTGTTGTTGTACCTGCATCCGCCACTTCCTCAGGAAGTTCATTCCACACTCAAATCACCCTCTGTGTTAAAAATTTGCCCGTCATGTCTTTTTTAAGTCTGTCTCCTCTCACCTTAGTAATGTGTCCCCCGGTCTTGAAATCCCCCTGTCCTAGGGAAAAGACAGCTACCGTTAACTCTATCTGAACCTTTCATTATTTTATAAGCTTCTACAAGGTCACCCCTCAACCTCCTACACTCTAGTGAAAAAGGTCCCAGTCTTCCCAGCCTTTCTTTACGACTCAAACCCTCCATTCCCAGCAACATCCCAGTAAATCTCTTCTGAACCCTCTTCAGCTTAATAATATGCTTCCTAAAATTAAAAAAATGCTGGGAAAAGAGGCCCATTAGACTCCTCATTCCAGATATCTTTTTGATTTATTGAATTCAAATTCCACCATCTGCTGTGGTGGGATTCAAGCCCAGGTCCCTGGAACATTACCTGGTTCTCTGGATTAATAGCCCAGCTACAATACCACTAGGCCATCACCTCCCCAGGGGAGTGAATGGCACAAAGGACAACAACCATTAGGGCTATGGCTAAGGTAGACTTGTTTAACATTTGAATGCATTCTTTCCTGAGCGGAATTTAACAATTGGCCTGTGCATTTTGTGATGGATTTGAGAGGGTTAATTCTGAGGAGTGCCATAAGCACCAGCCAATGTGATGATCCTGTATGGACTTGTTTTGGAACTTGAATGGGTGAGACTTGGTTTTGGATCTTCCTCATTGTCTCTATGACAAAGTCTGTTATATTAATAGAACCTGGAACTAATTGCCAAAGTGCAATATCAATATCTTGTGAACTGCAAGAGCAACTTCTCATTAGACTGGGTAGTGGTTTCTCCCCTCCCGCACTAGATCGAGCAGGCTCTGGAGTTTCCTGCACAGTGGCAGTTACCTTCACTATGAGCAGCATCTCCGACAGTGCAGTGAGCTGGCCTTGCCCATACAATAGAGGCTAAATAGATCACATCTTCCTTTTCTCACTTCTTCATATGTTTCCTCCTCCACCTTCACACCATTCTTTCCTTCCTCATTCACCATGAGCTGGTCACAGAATAGAAACTTAAAGCAGGGGCAATAATTAAGGTACGTGTCCAACATCAGTACTGGCTGTACAAGCTATTTACCCACCCTGACTCAGCCTGCCCCTGCACTGCCCATTGATGGTCCATTTCAAGGCCTCAGTAGGCCTAAGGGAGGTGAGCAGCTGACATGCCCCCTACCCACTGTACAGTGGGAGACAGCATGTTTGTAACGCTGAATAGTTTGGTGACTCCACCAGAGTTGTTAAGGGAAGAATCGTAGGCCTCACCTCAATGATCTCTGCTGAAAGCCAGCTCACCTATAGCCTCTCTGCTCACAATGCTCCAAACCCCATTCCCTGTTCCTCTTCTACAGTCACTGTAGCAATCAGCTACATTTCGCCCCACGAGCTCTCAACTCTGCAGAAATGCTCACTTTCTCACACATCTCCAACATAATCATAGAATCACGGAAGTGCCAGTGCTGAAGGAAGCCATTCAGCCCATTGTGCCTGTACTGGCTCGTTAAACAGGCATCATTACCTAGAGATAATCTCCTGCCATATCTCTGCACATCATTTCAATCCAAATAACCATCTCGTGCACCTCATGAGTGCCTCAATTGAACCTGCCTCCGCCACATTTCTGGGCAGCGCATTCTGTACCCAAACTACCAAAAAGATTTTTCTCACGTCACCCTTCTGTTGGTTGCACATCACTTTAAATCCATGCCTCAAACAAAAATGAGAGGGCAAGCAGAAACAGCTTCACCTTAGCTTCACTACTACTAACTATGAAAGAATGGCTGCACTATTCCACCACAAGAACCTTCACTCTCTTCTTACTGTCTGGGCCAGCATTTAATGTCTGTCCCTATTTGCCCTTCAGAAGTTGGCGGTGAGCTGCCTTTTGAACCGCAGTAGGCCATATGACCCACAATGCTGTTGTCGAGGGAATTCCAGGATTTTGACCCAGGTGTTCCCATGTATCTGCTGCCCTTGTCCTTGTAAGTGAAAGATGCTGCAGTATTGGAAAGTGGTATCCAAGGTGTTGGTGAGCTACTTCAGTGCATCTTGTAGATGGGACACACTCCCACCACTGAGCAGAGTGAGTGGGTATTTATGGGCGGGGGATGGGAGCCTTTGTTTTGGGTTAATAATGACTGGAGAGGGCAATGCCACCTAGTGACTGGCACCCATGTCAAGTTGATGGAATAGCCATCCAACAGCAATATGGAAGGTGGCGTCACACAGGACTTCCTCCTCCTCTCTCTCTCTCTACACAATTTGGATGACCGAAACAGAATCTTTCAACAGCCACTTGTTTGAGTTATCACTTGCTAATGAATGAACAAAGGCCATGGTTAAACCAAGAAGGGAACACTGGGAGTACACACATTGTGAATGGTTTGTCAATTTTACATAAGGTGCTTTGAAATATCTTTGCATAAACGTGCAAAATATCCTCGAAACATATCCCTGCGTGGCGAGGGAACTTAGACAGCCCTGAACTTTCTTACCTCTTTGATGCGGTTTTCTACAATTTTCCGAAACACACCTTGCAAAAACAAGACCAGGAATATGACGAAGCAACACAATGCAAACACACCAGTCAGAGCGGCCTTGTTTCTGACGTGAGTCATGACTGTCCCAGGGAGAGGTGTTTTAAAACAAATGTCACTGCTGTCAAACAGTTCCAACACGCTGCAATCTTTGTTAAAAAGCTTAGTTTTAGCCACTGGGTTCGTTGGAAGTGTGGCAGCTTCGGGAGGTGGTGGGGTTTGGGGGGGAGCGGATAAGCTACTGGCCTGAGCAAAGTGCGAGGTCGCACAGCCAGTTTCGACACAGGAAGGTCACTGTGCAGCCAATCACAGCACAGGCCAAAACACTCTGCTTACCTAAATATTTGGAAACAACAAGTTGCTTCTCTCTCGCTTTTTGACACTTTGACACTCATTAACATCTGTCCAACACAGTCCCATCACACAAGGGAGAGGCGGGGGAGACTAAGTTTGAGGAAAGGGGGAGAGCTGTCGAAGAGGGGGTGAGAGAGACGTCTGAGGTAAGGGAGAGGGGAAACATGTATGAGGAGGGGGAGATGCTTGAGGGGGAGAGAGAGTCATCTTGGAGGGGGGATATGTCTGGTGGCCAGAGACATCTGCTGGGGTAAGAGGCAACAGAAGAGGGGGAGATGCCTGAACATGGCACACATTGCACCCTTGGGAGACTGTCTGTGTGGAGTTTGCACGTTCTCCCCATGTCTGCATGGGTTTCCTCCGGGTGCTCCGGTTTCCTCCCACAGTCCAAAGACGTGCAGGTTGGGTGGATTGGCCATGCTACATTGCCCGTAGTGCCCAGAGACGTGTAGTTTAGGTGAATTAGCATTGGGAAATGCAAAGATTATAGGGATAGGGTATGGGGTGAGTCTGGGTGGATGTTCTTCACATAGTCGGTGTGGACTTGCTGGGCCAAATGTCCTGTTTCCACACTGTAGGGATTCTATTCTATTCTATGTTTTGGGGGTGTAGGGTGTAGATGTCTGAGGAGGAGGGAGTGACATGTCAGAGGAGGGGTCATACTCTGTAAATACCCTCTCCAAACAAGGGTCACTCTGTAAATACCCTCTCCAAACAAGGTTCACTTTGAGCATAACACCATCTCCAAGCCATTGCTTGTTCCCTTAGCGGATGCTTCTGAAGGTTCCTACCATTCGGCGATGGATATTACAGTAAGGTTTTGAGGACATTGATGTTTCCTTTACCCTCCTGCCGATGCTTGTTGTGACAAAGCTCGAGATTTGGCTTTGGGATAGTAAAGTTTGAATGCTCTTCAGATATCCTAATCACTGCTTTTAGCCAGGAAAGTAACTCATCTGCTCTGAAGAACTTCTGCTTATGGCAAAATAAAAGCTGAGTCAGATCAAGGAGCACATTAATTGTTCGTATCATACAATGCAATTGCAACAGTGTTTTTATCATACTCCAGACTCAAGCCAGCTCCAAATCAGTATCAAGGGGAAGTCTTGTATTTCTAGAACACCTATCACAGCTACCAGTAAATTCCCAAAGTACTTTAAAATGAATAAATATTAAGAATTTAAGAAATTGTTGTCATTGCTGTCATTGAGTCAAAGAGATGTACAGCATGGAAACAGACCCTTTGGTTCAACTCATCCATGCCGACCAGATATCCTAAATTAATCTAGTCCCATTTGCCAGCATTTGGCCTATATCCCTCTAAAACCTTTCTATTCATGTACCTATCCAGATGCCTTTTAAATGTTGTAATTGTACCAGCCTCCATCACTTCCTCTGGCAGCTCATTCCATACACACACCACCCTCTGTGTGAAAAAGTTGTCCCTTAAGTCCCTTTTAAATCTTTCCCATCTCACCTTAAACCTATGCCTCTCTAGTTCTGGACTCCCCTACCCGAGGGAAAAGACCTTGTCTATTTACCCTCATGATTTTATAAACTTCAATAAGGTCACAGCTGAACCTCCAACATGCCAGATATCACAGACCATTCAGTCTCTTCCTATAGCTCAAACCCTCCAATCCCAGCAATACCCTTATAAATCTTTTCTGAACCCTTTCAAGTTTCACGATATCTTACCTATAGCAGGAAATTGAATGCAGAATCACAGGAAAAGCAGACAATTGTTCACAGTAAGATCCCATGAGCCATGAGCAGGTAATCAGCTTCTGTGATGGTGATTGATGGGAGAAATATTGGTCAGGACACCTTGGGACATTGCTCAAGAGTGTGTTGATTAAAATGGACCCACTAAAGAAACTGGTTAAGACTCAGGCTGGAGTAGTGTGTACAGTCCTGGACACCATACTACAGGAATGATGTGAATACATTGGAGATAGTGCAGAAAAGGTTTATGAGAATGGCTGCAGGGCTGAGAAACTTTAGGATCAGAGAAATTGGGACTGTTCTCCTTGGAGAGAAGAAGGCTGAGAGGAGATCTGATAGAGGTTTTTCAAAATCATGAGTAGGCTAGATAGAGAGGATAGCAAAAATCTGCTCCGCTTGTAAAAGGATCAAGAACCAGAAGGCAGAGGTTTAAAGTGTTTTGCAAAGGAAGTGAAAGTGAGTTGAGACAAAACATTCTTCAAAAACCAAGTGGCCCAGGTTTCGAATGCACTTCCTGGAAGTGTAGAGGAGGTAGGTTCAATGGAGACATTGGATGGATCTTTAAATGGAAACAATGTGCAAGGAAAATGACCCTGTCACAAATCTCAAAGAGTCAGTGCAGACACAATGGGCCAAATGGCCAACTTGAGTACTGTGATGATCCTGTGAACTAAGGCCTATGCTGCTGAAACAAACACAATGGAGATTCAATGACAAAAGACTGAAAATGGGTCTGGGGAACCACATGAAGCAACTTGTTTGCACCCTATGTGTTTCATTTTGGTGAGTCAAACCAGGGCAGGACTTACATTGTCACTGGTACAGCCCTGGGGAGTGTTACTGAACAAAGAGATCTAGAGGTAGAGATTCATAGCTCCTTGAAGGTGGAGTCACAGGTAGACAGGGTGGCTTTCCGCAAGCTTTCATTCATTGGTCAGAGCACTGAGTAGAGGAGTTGGGACATCTTATTGTAGCCATACAAGACATTGGTAAGACCAATTTTGGAACATTGCTTGCTTTTTTGGTCACCCTACTACAGAAAGGATATTGTTAAACTAGAAAGATTGCAGAAAAGATTTACTAGGATGCTAACTGGACTGGAAAGTTTGAGTTATAAGGAGAGGCTGGATGGGCTGGGACTTTTTTTTCCCTTCAGCGTAGGAGACTGAGCAGTGAACTTATAGAGGTTTATAAAATCATGAGAGGCATAAATAAGGTAGATAGGTAGGGAAGTCTAAAATTAGAGGGCATAGGTTAAAGGTGGGAGACAAGAGACACAAAAGGGTCCAGGGGGGCAGTTTTTTCACACAGAGGCTGGTGATTGTCTGGAATGGGATGCCAGAGGTAGTGGTGGAGGTGAGTACAATTTCATCATTGAAGAAACATTTGGACAGGTACGTGGATGGGATAGGTATGGAGGGATAGGGACCAAATGCAGGCAAATGGGGACCAATTTAATAGTGAAAAATGGGCAGCATGGGGCTGTTCGGGTCGAAGGTCCTTTTTCTATGTTGTAAACCTCTATGACTATCATTCAGTAATGTGTCTGCGAAGCCACAACACTGCCTTTGAGTAATAGTTTCATACTTCAAGTTTACTTTGGGAGGGTGAGGGGGATAAGCAGGCAGGATGGGTTTGGTCATGAGAAGCAGGTCACACACATGGAGGGGAGCACAGAATGGGATTGTGAGTGAGGAGACTACACCGACAAGGTGCACAACAATAACACAAATCTCTGTTTGCAGATCATTGCCAGGAGTTACAGCATTCACTCAATCAGTTCTGAAGGTTGGTCACAAGACTCATAATGTTAACTCTGCTTTGTCTCCACAGATGCTGCCAAGACCTGCTAAGTTTCCCCAGCTGTTTAAGAGCATAAGGAACAGGAGCCATTCAATAAGTTCATGGCTGATCTTTTCATGGACTCAGCTCCATTTACCCGCCAATTCACCATAAACCTTAATTCCTTTACTGTTCAAAAATCTATCTATCATTGCCTTAAAAACATTCAATGAGGAAGCCTCAGCTGCTTCACTGGGTGGGAAATTCCACAGATTCACAACCCTTTGGGTGAAGAAGTTCCTCCTCAGCTCAGTCCTCAATATGCTCCCCCTTATTTTGAGACTATGCCCCCTGGTTCTAATTTCACTCGCCAGTGGAAACATCCTACCCACTTCAATCTTGTCTATTCTCTTCATAATTTTATATGTTCCTATAAGATACCCACTCATCCTTCTAAATGCCAATGAATATAATCTCAGTCTACTCAGTCTCTTCTCATAAGACAACCCTCTCAATTCTAGAATCAACCTACTGAGCCTTCTCTGCACAATCTCTAGTCCCAGTACATCCTTTCTCAAGTAAAGAGACCGAAACTGTACGCAGTACTCCAGCTGTGGTCTCACCATCACCCTATACAGCTGCAGCATAACCTCCCCTGTTTCTAATCTCCATCCCTGTTGCAATGAAGGACAAAATTCCATTTACCTTCTTAATTACCTACTGTACCTGCAAACCATATTTTTGTGATTCATGCACAAGGACACCCAGGTCCCTCTGCCCAGCAGCATGCTGCAATTTCTCAACATTCAAATAATAGTCCTTTTTGCTGTTATTCCTTCCAAAATGGATGACCTCACATTTGCCAACATCATACTCCATCTGCCATACCCTTGCTCACTCACTTAACCTATCGATAGCCCTCTGCAGACTTTCAGTGTACTCTGCACACTTTGCTCTACCACTCATTTCAGTGTCATCTGCAAACTTTGTCAAACTGTTTCTGTTTTAGCTTCATTCAGTTGGTGCTAGGCGCTGGTGTAATTGATAGCTGTGCGTGTTCATTCACTCCACCTGCAGCTGAACTTAACTGTTTGAAATCTAACCAAATGGTTTCCATTTC